CAAGACCCTTGACCTCCTAACTAACCCTTAACCCTAACACACCAGGGTCACAATGATTCAGAGCAACCCCTAACCCCCTAACCCCTAACCTCCTTACACTCATACACTATGGTTCTCCTCTCACCGTGGTTTCTTATGGGTGGGAGGTTGATGCAGTTTCTTCGGTACTGGTGGCTTTAATGGAGCGGTGTCTTTAGACTGAGAATTAGTCACCTGAGGAGCACTGTTAGAAAAACAAACAAAAAAAAAACCCAATGGATCAGTGCACTCTTAGTGAGATTTTTGCAGTATGTATGGTTTAATTTTACTACACCAGTATTCCGGTATCTTACCCACCTTTCACTGTTGGTGGAGTTCTGAAATTCTTTAGGAGGTTGGATGTTAAAAAATGTGTCTGACTGTGGGGTGAGGGGCGTCATGGGGCAATCCTCGGCCGAGGAATCAGAGGTAACACAGTCCTTCACACCGTCTGATAAATTTTTAATGTCCTCATCATCAGACGCTAAGGGGCTTTGCGGAGGTGAAGCCGGCCACACGTACTTCTCCAGTATGTCTCCTCCATGTGTGTCGTCTGTCTCTTTAAGCTCAGGGAGATCAGCAGGAGAGAAGCACGAGCCACCGTTCAGTTCTGACAAAAAAAAACAAAAACTCGTTCTTCATGTCCTGCGATGTCACAGAGCGAGTACGCAGTACACTTCCATCTCACACGTCTCACTGAACACTCTGCTGTCGCGAACTGTAAATAATCAACTGTGTGTGTTACAGAAAAACACTGAGTGACGCTCTGATGAAGCGGAGTTACTGTTACCACCCTGAAGTTGATTATTTTCCTATAACAGCAGTGTTTTATTCCTCTTATACAACTACAATTGGGAAGAATCATAAGACAAACTACAAATAGTGTATTTTTTTAACCTGCTGCTGATGTCTTCAGCTTTTGTGCGAGAATTTTCTTTCTTTACTGAGTTATTTTCCCTCATGTGCTTTAATCCACATCAGAATGTCACTGACTTTTTTTGTAATGTCATTCACTTGTACACAACAATAATCTCTGTCTGAATGATGTGTGTGGTTTTTCCAGTTCTCCCTGTAATCCATAAACACATCGACATTCCACAAAGCCGCCTAAACCAGCACACTGTGTTGTGCTGCGGGTTTGTTTTTTAATAATGCATAAATAATAAAACGCACCTGGGCTGGTCACTTCAGATGTTTTATTGTCTGTCTCGGGTTCATCCTGAGCTGCTTTACTGCTGAAGAACACAAACAGAAAACAGTTCTATAATTAATAACTAATAAAAAAAGCTTTACTGATAATATTAATAATAATGATGCAGTAACACAGCTCCATGTGACTGTAGCCCACCTGTCTGTGGAATCGCTCCGTAAACTCTTCCCGAGCATGTACCGGGTTCTCGGCTTCGGCACCGGCGCCGTCATGGCAGATGTTACAGATGTTGAAGATGACACGAACTACGCTGAAGGAGCAAATGTTCATTTTATTTACAGTACAAATCAACTTCACTCCAAAACAAAGTCATGAACATTTAGCATTTAAAGTGTGTTCCCAGTGCCAAAACTATTAATAATAATAATAATAATAATAATAATAATAATACATTAAATAAGTTACATTAAACATAAGATAGAAAAGTCTATCATTCTAGTTAGAGTTGATGTGAAAATAAACCTCAGATGACACACAGAGTCTAGAAACGTCTCCAGCTGCTTTCACTTTCAAAATTTTAATATTAAACTCTAAAAAGATCTAATAACAAAATTAAATAAAACTTACAACAACGTTTAGTAAAAGCTCTGAGCATAGATCTGATTCTGTTCAAATGTGCTTCTTTATCTCCTTCCTTTATCTCAGCTACTGTCTAAATAAAGTTCATTCATTAACACAAGGCTGATTTGTTCTTCCTGAAACCAACAAAACCAAAAAAACCATCAAAACAATAAAAGACTAAACTGAAAGATCTCGATATCAGACCTGAGTTATTAAAGCTGCTTACCTGCGTTCAGAGAGACTGTGGATGTCATCGCAGGACTGAAAGCATCTGAGCTCCTGCTCAAAATAAACCGGTTCCTGTTCCGGTTCCACCTGTCCGACACGACTGTCTCACTCCCAGGCTGTCTCACTCTCAGGGTGTCTCACTCCCAGGCTGTCTCACTCTCACACTGTTCTCCTCTCAGACTGTCTCACTTTCAGACCTTCTCACTCTCAGGCTGTCTCACTCTCAGACTGTCTCACTTTCAGACCTTCTCACTCTCAGGCTGTCTCACTCTCAGACTGTCTCACTTTCAGACCTTCTCACTCTCAGGCTGTCTCACTCTCAGACTGTCTCACTCTCAGGTTGTCTCACTCTCAGGCTGTCTCACTCTCAGCATGTTAATTGTTTACTAAACACATCCACACTCACTTTACAATCGGGAGAAAAACACAAGCGCAAATGAACCTTTAACCCTCAGGGCTGTAATCAGACTCCGCCCACTGATGATGTCATTCTCTCTTTATTGTGACTTTCACAACACAAACACACACAAACACACACACACACACACACACACACACCACTGTGTTTACACTATGTTCAGCTGTAATTGGTTTAACGTCACGCAGCACTTTTATATGCCAAAGACTCACAGGATTAGTGTGTACATGACAAACTCTTTATTATTTTACAGGATTTAAAAAAACAGTACATTAGGCTAAATATAATCCTAACGCTGTAGCTGTGTTTTTATTATTAATAAAGATATCTATCACAAAACTGTAACAATTATAAAGCAGAATAAATCAGCGCTGTGAGGAAAACAACAAATAAACAACAACAAAAATGCATGCAATCAACATATGTTTAAACAGATGAATATAAACACACAATTATTAATAATACATTCATAAAAAAAATTAATTAATTTAAACCAATAAATTAAAAAAATATTTCCACAGGCTGCTGTTATAAAACTTCTGACCAATCACCATCCAGAATTCAGCAGCGCTGTGCTGTAATAAAATTTATATAACGGTAATAATAAAATAGTTTGGAAATACCAGGAAAGGTAATGAAACATTGTCATATAACTTCTGTGTTGAATATCTGATTAACAGCTTTTCATTCCTAAACCAGTTTTTTTAAAACACTCATTTCACTTGTTTCCTTTTGGAACCATATGACTTAAAATCTACTGAGTCATTACACAGAGAGAGAGAGAGAGAGAGAGAGAAACAGAGAGAGAGAGACACTGAAAGTGAACTATTTGAGCTATTGGGAAACCCGAACTAAACTCCAGAGTAAAGTGCGGTGTTCTCGGGCCGTAGACAGACACTACAGTGTGGCAGATCATCTGAGCGCGGTGACTGATCCAAAACCGAGAAACACTCTGACGGAGTACAGACTCAGCGAGCACGGCTCAGCCATTGAGACAGCGACACACACACAGTCCTGCAGCCCCGAGAGAAGACTCTGCGCCAGCAGCGCACGCTAAATAACACAGAGACAGAGCTGCACCTCCTCACTGATGCACTAAACATAACCACATTCCACCTGAATTCTTCACCAAAATCAACAAAATCATCCCCAGTTTTAACTGCTGCCTCTCAGACCCCCACAAACTGCCCCAACTACTGGGGAGCACACACACACACACACATACACCTGCCACCAGGTGAGGGACAGTGAGTGACACACACACACACACCTGCCACCAGGTGAGGGACAGTGAGTGACACACACACACACACACACACCTGCCACCAGGTGAGGGACAGTGAGTGACACACACACACACACACCTGCCACCAGGTGAGGGACAGTGAGTGACACACACACACACACACCTGCCACCAGGTGAGGGACAGTGAGTGACACACACACACACACACACCTGCCACCAGGTGAGGGACAGTGAGTTACCACATCGTTTAATATATAATACACACACACACACACACACACCTGCCACCAGGTGAGGGACAGTGAGTGACACACACACACACACACACACCTGCCACCAGGTGAGGGACAGTGAGTTACCACATCATTTAATATATAACACACACACACACACAAACACACAGCTGGTGGATTTTTGTTTATTTCAGTTTCATTTTCATTTATACAGGTGGCACTGATCCGATGTTATCTGTTTGGCTCCGTATCAAACTGATACCAGCAAAAATGAAGGATCAGATATCAGAGAGAAAAACAAACTTGATCCTGTAAGAAATACAACCTGAAATATCTTTTCATCTCTGAACTGCTTGTTTGTGCAAGTCGTGTTTTTAGCTACTGTATATAAAGTTTAAAACAAATCAGTTTAATCATTTTAGCGCTTAGTAATTTTTAAAGAAAAAATATATTTTAACAGAGAAAGTGTTGATTATATTGGTACGAGCGCAGTTCAGTTCTTCGATCAGAACGTGGTGATTAATTTTCCTTGTACAGCGGACGCTCCACATAACCTAAGTCCATAAACAAATGGATTAAAAAACAAAGAAAAGTGTGGAATCACTGACATGATGAAGTTTTCTGTAAGGAGACATTTCTTTAACATTTATGGAAGGAGTCTCCAGTGTCACTGACACAGGAGTGAGTTCCTGTTGTCACTTACGTTATAGCAGCTATAAACTCACTCGTTCCCTCACCAGCCTCTCTTTTTCTCTCTCAAGTTAATAAGGTAAAAAACTTGTTACTGAGACACTGCAAAGCGTAAACTCCTGTCCTGAAGCCTCGAGTCTTGTAAACCATCCATTACTTTAAATAGTTAAAAAGTGAGTTGTTTGTTTGTTAATAAATGAAAAATTGTAATCATTGGCAAATTGCTGTGCTATAAGAGGAATAATAGCAGTTACAGTTACAGGAATCCTGAAAGTTGGGATGCTGCTGCTTCATCGCTCCTGTTTACCGCTTCCTTGCTATCAGTATCGGAAGTGATTGTTCAGCTGCCTGAATTACACTGAACTCCTCTCTTTCTCCTCCTTTCATTCTTCTCCATCCGCGTTAGTATAGTGGTCAGTATCTCTGCCTGTCACGCAGAAGATTGAGGTTTGATTCCCCGACAGAGAGAGTCTGCTTTTTTACACACACACACACACTGCTCCACTGACAGGAAATCACTACCAGGATCTTCACTCCTGTTCACTGCTTCCAGCACGCAATAATATACAAGTCGGTTCTTTCCAATGGAGAGTCAGGAATGAGTAAAATGATGCTGCAGTGACATCATGCGGCCTGCAGGTGGCGATGTTACATTTTGACATATACAGTCCCCTCGGAAAGTATTGGCCAATTCTGTTGTTTTTGCTATAAACTGAAGACATTTGGGTTTGAGATCAAATGATGAATATGAGATGATAGATCAGAATTTCAGATTTTAAGGCCAGATTGGAATTCTCAGAGAAATATAGAGATGAGCCAAAAAAGTTCTGGAACCAAGATGAACCTCTACCAAAGTGATGGAAAGGCCAAAGTGTGGAGAAAGAAAGGATCTGCTCATGATCCAAAACATACGAGCTCATGGGTGAAGCATGGTGGAGGTAGTGTCATGGCTTGGGCTTGCATGGCTGCTTCTGGAACAGACTCACTAATCTTTACTGATGATGGAACTCATGATGGTAGCAGCAGAATGAATTCAGAATTCTACAGAAACATTCTGTCTGCCGATTTACAGAGAAATGCATCCAATCTAATTGGGAGGAGCTTCATCATGCAGCAAGACAACGACCCAAAACACACTGCAACACAACAAAGAACTTCATCAGGGGAAAAGTGGAAGGTTTTAGACTGGCCAAGTCCATCAGCAGACCTTAACCCAACTGAGCAGCATTTCACCTCCTGAAGAGGAGACTGAAGGGAGAAACTCCCCAAAACTAACAACAACTGAAAGAAGCTGCTGCTACAAACCTGGAAAACCATCACAGAAGAAGAATGCAACAGTTTGGTGATGTCAGTGGATCACCGGCTTGATGCAGTTATTGCAAGCAAGTGTTATTTACTTTCATTTAATTTAAGACTATCTGTTCCTACACTTTTCCTCTAAAAATGGATGATCTTCCATGTTCTGAGGTGTTTAACATGTCTAGATGTAAAGATGAGGAAATGAAAGCTGAAATCCTAAACTCTTTTCTCATATTCCTCTTTTCATCTCAAACTCAAACGTCTTCAGCGTTTAGCAAAAAACAAAAGAACTGCTCTTGTGTTCCAAGACTTTCAGAGGAGACTGTATATACATTTTTTAAAGATTATATTACAGTTGTAGGCTATTATAAAACTTTTAAAACTAATTTACATTTTTTTAATTTCATCTCCATTCAGATTAAATCTGATAAACTGGATTACACATCATTAAACATCACTTTTACTTTATGTCTACGGAAACACACATCATATAAAATTATTCAGCTCTTTATTGCATGTTGGAGGCTTCTTGTGCATCTTGGTTCTTTTTTTTGGTGAATGTGATGAAATGACGTGGTGAAATGTTCTGCTGCCTGAAGCACAAAGAGAACCGCAGTGTAATTCACAGAAATGAGCTACTGAGGTAGGCTGGTTGGAATAGCTAATGGAAAAGGTACTTGCCTGAGCAAGTTGTGTGTGTGTGTGTGTGTGTGTGTGTGTGTGTGTGTGTGTGTGTGTGTGTGTGTGTGTGTGTGTGCACGTTCAGGGGTTGATTGTGGCAGTCCATCAGTTGTTAGGTTTGAGTTACAGAAATAGCACAGTGGAAATGAGTGAACCCTTTAATGTTCGAGTGTGCTCTAGCAAAGTCCCACTCACACACACACACACACACACACACACACGCATTTTCCCCCCTCTCTCTGTACAGGTTAAAGGTTAGAGTTTAGAGGTTAAGGATGAAGCCACAGAGTTAAAAGATAAAGAGGGTTATTCCTGTTATATCTTCACCAAATTTATGACCCTATAAAATAATGAAGCAAATAAGAAAAACTAACAAAAACTACCGCAGATAAATGTTCTAAAAATAAAACCATTACAAAATCTAAATAATGGAGGTCAACAAATCTGGCACAGCAAAGTTTCCACTTTTATTAAGTGAATATGAAATAAATGGTAACAACAACAAACTCCTATTCAACCTATAATTATTAATTTATTGAACAGAAACATATTTAGATTTAATTTAGTACTATACTTTGCCATCAGTGCACCTGAGAAGAAAACACACAAATCAAGAAAACACACAAATCAACACGATTTCCTGATAAATGCGTGACTGCCTCGTTTGAGTATGAATGGGATATTGATGAGCTAAACTCGACTGGGTCACACCTCACTTTCACGTTCAGTCTGAGCAGAAAGAGGACACAATCGTGCCGCATGAAATGTGTCAACCAGAAAGGACAAAACTACAACAGGGTTTATTTTACTGTCTTTTATTCCATTGTTTAAAGAAAGACAAACTGCCACGAGTCTAATGCAAGCTCAAACAACACAGATGGAGTTATTTAATTATACAGTAGCTACATGGCTACATAATTTATAGCAAGTGCAAGAATACTGTGGCTCGATAATAAGCACATTTAAAGGATTTATTGCTGAAATCTGGGCCAAAAAGTCTCCCATTTAAATTTCATGCACAATTTTAAGCATGGACTGTGAGTTTTTTAGTCAAATTTACCATCAGTTTACTCAAATCGTACATTTAAGGTTAGACAAATGGCAACATATCAATATTTTCTTAGAAACACTCACCACCTACATCCAGAGCTGTTTCTGTAAAGTGAGATTGCTCTGGAATTCAAATGAAGCTAAAACCGAACCACATGCTTCTCAGAATCCTGCAATAGCAAGCCTATAAAAAATGATATTGAATTTTTTTTTATTTTCACAAAAAAAAAAAAAAAATCTTTGACATCAGAGGAGATACATCTTAATCAGAGACATCAAGGAGTGAATTTTTTATGGATAATATTATGAATGAAGTTAAATTTTTTTTAATTAAATTAAACTTAAATTTCATGCTGATGGTTATGACTGTGTTCATGATGTCAGTTGTTTCAGTAAAGCTTGGCTCAATCTGAATAAAACACAGTGACGATGTGCCTGTGTGTGTGTGTGTGTGTGTGTGTGCGTGTGTGCGTGTGTGTGTTAATATCTCAGGGGTGTTTACTGGAAGCATCATTACATTATTACTAACTAGCTCAGCCGTTATGATCGTTACATTCCTCACACTCAGCTGGCAACAAATCAAACACACTTCACTTCTTTACATTTCCTATATGTTTAAGTACTTGACTTTAAAGCTTAGTTTAACTGTTTATACCTTGAACATATTTCTAAATTCATAAATTTGAACATATTTCTAAAGATATTTATATTATTTGCAGTGTTATACATGTGTACATATGGATGTTTCAATTCAATTTCAATTCAATTCAGTTTTATTTGTATAGAGCTTTTAACAGCGGACATTGTCACAAAGCAGCTTTACAGAAATATATAAATTCAGGATATAAATTTTTAATTTATGAAATTATCCCTAATGAGCAAGCTAGAGGTGACGGTGGTGTAAGGCGTAAAGCCTCAACAAAGCACCATCTGTACAGTGGAGTGTAAGTGTGGCGGTATTTTATTTGCCAGATTTTTATCAGTGATTAAATCATTGTTTGCTCTCCTGCACCAGTCAGCGCAGATGTGTTCAGAGTGACCAAGCTCAGCACTGTAGAATCAGGAGTGTGTGGGTGTGTGTGTGGGCTTGTGAATAAGAAAGATTGAATGTAAACCCTGGTTGACATGGGAGTTGGCAAAAAAAGCCAGAGTTTCAGAGTTCAGAATGAGTGTGGGGCTTATTACGATAACCTGTGGTGAAATGATTGAGGGAGTTTATTGTAAAGTGTAAAACCTCAACAAAGCACCATTTGTACAGTGGAATGTGAATGTGGTGGTATTTTATTCATCAGATTTTTATCAGCATTTTATCTTTACTTTATTTTTGATCTTGTTCAAATTGAAGGAAAAATAAAGTAAACAAGCAAATTACAGTGAGAGTGTACCAAAAAAAAACAGTTCAATCTGCTACAGAACTGAAGCACAGGAAAGTTCATCTTCCACCACAGTGGCTCAGCAAAGAGAGCGCTGAAGGTCCTACAGTGGCCCAAAGTTCTCACCTCTGAGAAGCACTGAGAACCTGAGCTGTAGGCTTGGGGTTAGGGTTAGGGAAATCCACTTCTAAAGCCTTAAAGTGTTCTTCCCCAGGTCTTTCTAAAGAAGATCAGCTAGAGGTGAATGTAAAAGCCAGAGCTGCCTGCCTTTACACACTGTTATTTTAAAGAGGGCATGAAAGGTGTACTTGGTGTTTCTTGATACTACAGTTTCGAAACCCTGTCTCAGCCGCCAATTTCGCATGATTAATAATTTCTCATCTCCTCTGCTCAAAAGATGACGAGATAGTGTTCTCACATCCTGTTACTGTCAGTGGAGAATATCTATCAGTGTGTATTCCACGTAGTTAACATTAGACACATATACGATCAGGATCAGTTAAGTAAAGTAAAAAAAATAGATAAAAAAATAAAAGTTAAATTTATTAGGGATGCTACTGAAGATTTTTGGCCAAAAAAGTGATGTTTTTGACATTTTTGGCTGTAAGACAAATAAAGATGAACTAGGCCTACCATAAAGTGTAAGAGTTTACAAATAATTTGAATGGTAATTAAAAAGTGATTGAATCATTGTTTGCTCTCCTGCACCAGTCAGCGCAGATGTGTTCAGAGTGACCAAGCTCGGCACTGTAGAATCAGGAGTGTGTGTGTGTGTGTGTGTGTGTGTGTGTATGTTTAAGGAAACCACCAGGTGCTTGGGGAAAGAGATGCTGTTTATCGTTTTAGTTAAGATCTAGACAATAGAAAGTTCACATGTGGTGGGACTGGGTCAGATAAAGTCAAAGGTCACACATGCACAAGAAAGAAAGTAAACTTTTGTACCATAAACTTTTCCAGCATCTGCATCTTTACTAAAACAGTTAAAACTGTATATGTATATGTATATATGTATGCTCATTTTCTACATTAAAAGTGAATATAAATGAATAGTGAAAGGATTACACT